CTTTTTACATTTTATGTGGCTTAAGTCGGTCTGATCCCGGCAAAAAGTTCATTTGAAGCTTGATTTCCAAGAATGATCTTTACTTCAGGAAGTATCGTTCAGTATGTGTTCATTTTTTGAATTCTAATTCCGGTTTCATTTAGCATGGGTAATGACTCGTCTAAAGCCCATAAAGCATCAGCAAAAGCATCAGGAGTAGCGTCATCCTTGGGTAATCTCTCATGAAATTTCTATCATTTATTTTCAAAATATGTTTTTTAGGTATTCGCTCTGGACCGTCACAAAGCACTGTTCAACGACATATTGACAATGCAAAGAAAAGCAGAATCCTGCAATTGAAGGGCTGCGGATTGAAATCAATGCCCCAAGCCTTGAATGAGGTCGATTGCTCATACTTTTAAACCTTTCAGATGTATCAATGTCTTTCAGCTTTATGAGATTATTCGAAATTTGGAATTGAGCCAAAATAAAATCAAAGAGCTGCCTTCGGATATTGGATCTTTCAGAGCTCTCAAACAACTACATCTTGCTGAGAACGTCCTCAGTAAGTTTTCTTTCCATCTTGAGTACATTGATTAAAGATTTTTACATCGATTTCCTGAGCTTTATAAATCACTTTTTTAGCTGAGTTACCTGATGAGATTGGCTCACTCAGCAATCTGGAGATATTGAATGTACACTCGAACAAGTTATCATTACTGCCGGATTCAATAGTAGGATGTACATCATTGAAAACTCTCATTCTTTCGGCTAACAATTTCATCCAATTCCCCATTCCTGTCTGCCATTTGATGTCACTGGAAACCGTCAATCTTGCCCAAAACACGATAACGGAGCTTCCGGATGACGTAAGCCCTGTCTGCTTCTTAGCTTCCTGTAAGTTTCCGCTTTAAACCCAATTAATCTGTTTTCTGTTTAGATAAGCTCTATAAACGCGTCCGAATTGAATTTAAACCAAAATAGGCTCAACTTCCTGAATGCTGATGCCCTATCCAAAGCTGCTCACCTCAAGATCCTCAGAGTTGAAGAGAATTGTCTCGCAAAAACCGAATTTACACCACAATTGCTTATTCATTCCACCATAAGCATAATAAGCCATTCTGGCAATATATTTCAAGACCGTGAATTCCAAGATTTGCCTGGTTATGAAGAATATCAAGAACGCTTTACTGCAACAAGACGAAAAATGTAACTTTAATAAAGTTTATATTTACATCGTAATCATCATCGCTTGCCAGGTTTCTCTTACTTAATCTTTTTTTGATTAATGGTCTTCTTCATGTTTGTACTTAACAAATCTCTAGTCTTGGTTGTGATACGATGTATTATTTGAACAAAGACAGCATAAATATTCATTATCACAGATTTTTATAATGCAATACCTGTATCAGATGCAGTGCAATATATGTCATATGTTATGCATAGAATATTTTTTTCCGAGAAGATTAGTTGTGAAATTTGTGAGAAGGAACAAGGGTTATATATCCATCAGATCACCTGCTTAAGGTATTTTTCTGCGTTTCAAAAACTTTAAGCTTAATAGTGAAGAGTGATGAATGTGCGTAGATAATGCGTGGGAAAGTTCGAGTGAAATGGGAGTAAACCTCCTATGTGCTGTTATTTTTACTTGAATTCTTCCGCGACTTTGTGCTTTGGTGTTACTATCCTCGTAATTTCTCCATTTCGAAATGTATCCATGAAATAGCTGCATGGATGTTTGAGTAAACGCCAGGTTTCCCCTCTCGCCCGCATCCAATGCCCCAACTCACGACGCCATAGATTTCCCATCGTCCCATAATCGTACACATCAGCGGCCCTCCAGAGTCTCCCTAAATACATTTTTAAATTATATAGAAGCCTTTTGTTAAATGGGTTGATACTGCGTTTATAGTTTCTCTTGCGAAAAACACTGCGTTTTTTGTCATTTTGTTACTTATAGAATCTGTGCATTTCTTAGATTCTTAAATCCCGTAGTGAGAATTTTGAACATATAGTTTTGCAAAGTCCTTGCCCCAGGTCATTCCTATCTCTGACAACGCATATTTCCTAGCATATCAATAGTATTTGGACAAGAAGTTAGGCTGTAACTTCCTCAAATTTTTTCACATTTGCTGCTCGTGAGGTACAAGACATGGAGTTTTACAGTTTACCAGACTCATCAGTCTTT